TGATCTAGCAGTAGCCTGCAGTGCTGCATTTAACCACTGCGCCACCTCGGCCCTTAAGATGTGTAGATTTCAATTCCATGCATCTTAAATTCCCCAAGTTGAAGACCATGTTCTGGGAGTTGTTGTTCATATATCTTAAAGAAGTCAAGTTTGAAAAACACTGCTTTAGAGAAAAGATAGGTTGGGATTGCAGTGACTGATCGAATAACTTCCTTGGATGCAGTAGAACTTCATATCACGAGCACTGTTTGGCGCAAAGACATTTTAACAAATAAGTACCTCAACAAGATCTCTTGTTTATACCTCTGTACTGTGCATCTTGAGAACAATACCAGAGGAAAACAAAAAGACAGTATATTAATGATATGACCCACTATATGAAAGCAACTTTTTCCTCATATACTGTATAGAACTTGTGTGTGGCTCATAAGGTTCTCTACCCATGTACTTCTGCATGTAACCAATCTTCAAACATCAATATGTTTTAATCAGTATGATTAAATTAGATGAAGTTCACTGTTGATGTTACTATTCTCATTGAAGAAAAAGCTTACCATATGTATTATTGACAATATCACTAACAGTCTCATTAACTCTTACATAGCAACTTACTTGTAACTGGACATAGTCCCAAGCATTTTCAAGGGTCCTGTTGGTTTCATCATAAGGATTATAATTCTGGACAAGTTCGCTAACAATCCCAGACATTTCCGCTTTAAGCTAGTAAAAACAATACAAAATATAATTAAGCACTGGTCTTGTAATCCCATCTTACATTTGAATATATATAAATTATTTGAACTTTATTCCATAATAAGGAAGCCTTTTCCTTTTTTGATGAAGCCCCAGATGTGTCTTCCAGCATGTCCTGCAAGTAAGAACTGGAGAGAGGGAAAGAAAAGGAGGAACAACAACAGTATATTTTTTCTCTGTCAACAAAAAGAAAGGAAGGGTCAGAACATTTCACTCAATGCTGAAGGATTATGTTTTATTTAAAATGAACCTGTTTTCCCAAAGAGCAATGATTATAATCCATCCAGAGAATTCCTTTCAACTCCTCACATGGTAGCTCTTTCTTACACAAATAGGGCACGGCTAGTCTAGTGAAGAGAAGGACCGAGAGAGACATGATAGCAGTGTTCCAATATTTGAGGAACCGCCACAGAAAGGAAGGGGTCAAGCTATTTTCCAAGGCACCTGAAGGCCAGACAAGGAATAATGGAGAGATTCAACCTGGAAATAACGAGAAATTTTCTGACAGTGAGAGCAACCAACCAATGGAACAGTTTGCCTTCAGAGGTTGTGGGAGCTTCATCATTGGAAGCTTTCAAGAAGAGACTGGACTGCCGTCTGTCAAAAATGGTATAAGATCTGCTTTGGTGGGGGTTGGACTAGATGACCTATAAGGTCCCTTCCAACTCTTTAATCTATACAGATAAACACANAATTCCTACCGGTTCAGATGGTAGAACCAGTAGTGGAAACTGGGTGACTGGATCTCCAAACTGGTAGGCTCGCCACGTCCCTGAACCAATTCTAGGGTTGCTGCAACATCTTTTTTTTTACCTTTGTTATGTGCATGAGCAGACCTATTTATAGGCAACTGTGTGTGCACGAGTGAGCGAAAGGAGCACACCTGTGCAAAATCACACACCAAACTGGCAATAATGCCGGCAGAAACCCACCCCTGATCTAGACCAACAGAAGTCTCTTTTCTTTCTTCTTATTTAGCATAAGTAGGTTAGGACTACATAGAGTAGGGAGGTCCTACATGCAAAAAAACATTGGGGAAAAGTCATTGTTTGAAATAGGCTGCTAAAACTTATTGTGGCCAGTCCAATTCTATTGCTCAACAAATGCTCATCAACATAAGTATCCCTGCTGAGCGCAGCAGATCCCTATTTGCATCATTGGCCTCCTAAACAAAGATAGGTTGACACTACAAGAATGAAAGTAGAAACGTTTTGTAATTTTTTTTAAGCAAATGTTTTATTATTGAAATACCCGCCCATTATTTGTTAAATCTGTACATGCATTTGTTTCATTTGGAAGTGGTTTCTAAAAACAAAAACAAAAAAAATCCAAAATGACTCCAGCGTTCTTCTGTTCAAAGCTGAATCCAAGACAACAAGGACCATCGCATAAACACCTTATGAGTGAAGTTTATCAAATGAAGCATGAAGTGATGCATACACAGCCTAGCGTTACAATTCATGTAAAAATGAAACGGCGACTGGTGGATGATGGCAGTAGAACCAACCTGGACCATTATTTCAAATAAAATGGCCAACGTTTGCTAGAATGTTAAATGTGAAATTATTCAAATGCTGGACTCTGAATCATCCAACTGTCTTACTGCACAAAAACTAGCAAAATCACCCCTTGTTATAGTTACAAAATTATAATATTTGTAAGGTAGGAAAGCATGGGAATGCAGGTACTCTTAACTAGATTTGGTCTCTAAATTATCTCAGACCCATTTCATTCTCCCCAAATAGACCAAGATCAAGTTTCCTATTTGCAAAAACTACCTTCTGTGCTGTGAGATGATGGAACGAAGCATTCATGCTTTGATCTATACATTAATAATTGTTAATGTAAGGAACTTGTAGTTCTGGTCATGTTAACTTTTCCTGGTTGCCTTCTTTGGCACACCTCAAATAGAAGCTCTCTACGCAAAACCAGAGCCATGGTGTCAGGAGAGAATGCTAATGATACTGTGACCACAATCTGGTCTTTCTTTTTCACAGTTTTATGTACTAGCATCCTTTCCTTAATCTGGAAAGGAGAGATTTCTCTTACAAAACTGGGCTGTTTCCTTGCATTCACTTTAGAATGTAGATGCTCGCATGGCTTTTGAAGAGAGAAGCATCTCTCAGTAAAAATATCAACAGTAAGTTCTTCACAGTGACTTCTGCAACGTGGGTTCTGGTGGCAAATACAGTGACTCCAAGGTCACATGATTCCCAACTAGAGAGGCAAGAAGAGCTATGTACTTTCCTTGGTACATATAAACTAAAGGCCAGAAAAAGTGTTCCCTGCCACTATTGGCATGAAGAATAGTCAATTTTGTATAGTTCACCATAACAAAGAGAAGACAAAATTACAGAAGATTCATAATAATGTGAGTGGAAATATATATATATCTCCATCACCACCTCAAATAAAGTTGGCAAACCAGGAGTAGATGTCAGAGAGCCCGGACAGACTCATCCTTGGTTATGCAGTCACCAAAATGACTCCAATGTAATGGACTCCCAAAGGGAGGAGTATGGCAGAAATGAGAAAAAAAAAGATATCAGATTTTTCCATATCATACATTCCTGTTCAAAAGGTAAATGGTGGGATTTTAAGCTTGGTGCCTTACAGTCCAATTCTTGATCTGGCTGGTGTCAATTCAATAGATCAGAGGAACTAAAAAAGATAGAGGCATCCGATTATTTAGGGGAAAGCCGTTCCTCTCTCTACAGTGCATTTTTCTAAAAGCATGTGATTAAAAAAATATCCAACCACAACAGCTAAAGCCCCCCTCCCACCTAATCTTCCTCGATGAACAGTATAAGGATTATGTTCATATAGCAAACAGCTGCAATAACTGGAATATGGGAATACTCTAAGCTTAGTCACAATCGACAAATGTGGATAAAAGGAAGGGAGGAAGAGGTGCTGGCAATAAAGGTGCAGGGTATCTCACAAGGAGAAGAAGATTTAAATGGCCTGTTTCATAAAAGAACAGTCAAGATATTAAAAGGAGGCTGCCCAAGTCCCTCGAATAATTCGTCAATACCGCACAACCTAATTGAATTGCAGCAACATTGTAGAGTTGAACCCAGAGGGATGACAGTCTGGATTTAAGAAAGGGGGATTTCGTGTGGGGCAGCTCTCAAGACCAGCAGTCTCTCAGTACTTGGGCACTTTGGTGTACTCTTCAGTGTGAATGTTCTTGCAGAGGCAGATAGAGAGCACCATTCCCAGCAACTGCAAGAGAAAAAAGGGAAGGAAGAATGAAAAGGATGGTCCTTTGCACTCATAAAGAAATGGGGACTCCCTGGACAGAATTCAGTTTTTCAGCGATTGTTCAAATTTAGACCAAACACATTCTTATAACGGCACGTAAGACTAACCAAAGTGCATGTTCTGGTTTTAGCAATACCTCTTACACTAGTGCTTTTACAGCCCTCTCTAAGTAGTTTACAGAGTCGGCATACTGCTCCCAACAATCTAGGTCCTCATTTTACCAACCTTTACCAACAGGATGGAAGACTGAGTCAACCCTGAACCAGTGAGAATGGAACTGCCGAACTGCTGGCAATCAGCAGAAGTAGTACTGCATTCTAACCACTGCACCACCACATGTTTTATCTCAACACCCTTTACAGTGGTGAAATTTGATTTTTTTTTTTTTACTACCAGTTCTGTGGGCAGGGCTCGGTGGGCATGGCAGTGGAAGGATATTGCAAAATCTCTATTCCCATCACACTCTGGGGCCACACTCTGGTATTTGTCAGTTCTCTGAACTAACTCAAAATTTCTGCTACTGGTTCTCCAGAACCTGTCAGAACCTGCTAAATTTCACCCCTGACCCTTTACCTTTTCCATCTTCTTGGTCCTCCTCCTCCTGTCAAAACAGCAATCATAAGCTTCTCCAGAGAGGGAGCTATATTTTGCTAGCATTACTGTGAAAAGCACTTTCATTCATGGATGAGTTTTGCTATAGTTAGTTCTTGTTTACTGTCGATCATTGTGACAGGGAACTCCATTGGTAAGCGATGCTTTCATAATGTGGGGCACTACATGACCGCACCAATTTATGATAGTCCCAATAGTCCCCATTGCTGTTGTTAAGCGAATCCTATGAGGTTGCAGCATTCCACAGTCACATAATTGCCACCTACAATCTCCTGCCAGATTCCGCATTGACTTTGCTTGTTGGAAGCTGGCACAAAATGTGATCACATGACCACAGGATAGTGCAACATTTTAATTGTGTGCAGTTTGCTGAGCACACAAATAGTGACCACATGATCATCGGATGCTGCAATGAACACAACAATAAGGACTCCTCCTAAGTACCCTTTGTTTAGCATAATTGCAAATTTGAACAGACACTCAATGAGGGGACTGCTCCATTTAATTTCACATATTTAATAAAATGTTCCAAATAAAAATGTAAGAAGCAGTTAATGAACCATATTCAGCCTGCTGTAACCAATATAGTTGATTTGTCATCATATTGAAATATGTCAGGACAAAAAAGCAGCATCAGCAGATAAGAATTCATACATAATAAAAATAGAAATCAGAAACTTGCTGAGCTGAAGTAAATCTCAATCAGCCATGGGAGAGAGAGAACAAATTGAGAGATTATTACAAAAAAGATGTAGAATTGTAGAGGGAGCAAATAACCAGATCTCCTCAGATATTTGGGTCTTTTGGTATGGATCTATTTATATCTGGTTCATAGTGTATCCTCCAGATGCATTCTCTCTCATTCCAACTTTTGCATCTTTGTTTTCAATCACAAAAAAAATATTGCTAATGTGAATAAATTGAAGCTGGTGGGAAAACTTTTAATCAAAGCTATCCTCTTTAAAAGGCTCCAATCATCAGGTAGATGTAGATTATTTAAAAAAATGTACTTTTAGCCAAGATATAATAAAAAAATAAGGAATAGAAAGATCAATTCATACTTTTTGGAAAATGGATTATGGAGAATATATTTAAGTACATTTTTCACATGGATATCACTTCTGGNAGAAGCAATTACACTCTACTGCCAGGAACAAATTTGTGCAAAACCTCCCATATTCCACAAGTAGAAGTTGCCAATGACCGCTCACTTTTTCAAACATTACACCTTATTGAAAGTTGTCCTGACTAGACTACACACATACTTAAACTCATTACTCTGTATTGCCACATTGACTTCTGTAAGTTAAGGTATTGGGAGGAAGGGTGGGGACAATATACAATTGTCTTCAATTTAAACTAAAGATTAAGTATGACTACTCTTAGGTTCTAATGTTATTATCGCCATTACACATTATCTTGCAAAAATGGGTTTAGAAAAATTAGTACATTTTTTAAAAACAATTGTATGTATTTCATATGCAAGTTTTGCATCAGAGCAGTTTTTATTGAGATTTTTGTATGCTTTTCTGATTAATATTTTATTTTTTTTCTTTATTAGAGGTTGCTGCACAACATCCATACAAGTGTAACAACTGAAATATACTGTTATTTCCTCTCATGGTTTGCAAAGTTCAAGTTAATTAAATTTACATTAAAATGTAAACTCAACGTTCAAGAATCTGAAAGACAGTTTTGTAGCTGAGTAAGTGAAATGGCATCCCATTTTTCCTGGTCTTTTGTAACCTCTGGACATTAAAGGCAAAATTCATTTTCTTTCTTGTTTGGAAATTTAAATTCTACACAAGCCATATACTAAATCTCAAAATAGCAAAAATGGGTACAGATATTACTAAGATTATAAACCAAAAATTAGAGGTTCTTTCCAAGAAGCGGGTTAGTGGAAAGAAGCATATCATAAGAGAAAAAAGTGGTCTGAATGCTTTATTCACATATTTCAAGCCTGCACATTCTATTCTTTTTTTAATTCATTCCTGCAGTGAATTTTTTTCCACTTTTACTTCATCTAGAAACCTAGTTTTTTGCCCAAATTAAACTTTTGCTATTGCTTCATTTAAGTTTCTTACACAAAGTTTTCAGATTTCATTTACTGTAGTGGTTTTAATGTCTCAACTGTTGTACAGTTTTGAATTTTAAATTTGAATTTTTTATAATTTCACTGGCTTGCTGAATTGAACTTGTATTACTTTTAATGGAAAATACTTAAAGCATGTAATAAATAGTCAAAGTAGGCCCAGTATTTCTATTCATGTTTATCCAGATTTCTTGTCCAATGCATATAACAAGCAATAAACTAGTTATCCATTATTTCTCACCTTATTGGTATATCTTTTAAGCAAAGGAAGATTTGAGCAATTAATCATTATTAAACTCTAGGTGATTAACAAAAATTAGCTACTGAAAAAACGCTCCTTAAATTCTATAAAGTATTTATAGTTAGTTGGTGTCTACACTCTGCTTCTTTTTTTTCTTTTCTTTCTATTATTTGCTATTTAATTCTCAGTTCCTGATTTTAAGAATGATGGTAAGCGGTTTTGAAAACAGGAATTCAAAACCCCCTAAATAAAATTACATGCTTTTTTTCTTAAATATTTTCCTAATTACTTATTAAGAAATTCAAAAATGTAAAAAAACAACAACCCATAAACCAGAAAAATCCATTTTGGTTAACTCACAGCTAATATTTACAGTTCTGTAATTTTTGCTGTTGTAAATTTTGTAACAGAAAGAATCAGATTATCTGATGTGTGTGTGTGTGTGTGTGTGTGTGCGTGTGTGCGTGTACAGTATGTATGTATGTATGTACGTTGCATTTGTGCTGATAAATAAATAAAGGGAGACTAGTATAGATCTATTTCAACCTATTTAGATAGATCTATACTAGTCTCCCTTTATTTATTTACCAGCACAAATGCAACACAAAAATGGTTTTCTGCCTGGAAGGCTCCTAGAGTGGAGTTGAAAGGAAAAAGGGAAGCAGTATGCTCTCTCCAGAGGCGGGTTCCTACCAGTTCGTATCTATTCAGTAGAACCGGTTCGTCAAATCTGCCGAACCGGTTAGAAGAGGTTCCACCAGTGGACCCGGAGAGCAGGCCACACCTACATATTTGGGTATCAGGTGCTTTGACATAACACTCTCTCTCTCCCTCTCTCTCTCTCTCTCTCACTCTCACTCTCACTCTCTCTCACTCACTCTCACTCACTCTCACACACACACACACAGATATCCATCTAATCAGGAACAAATCAGATACTAACATTAAAACACTAAATTTATTTTATTACTTCATGCAAATTACAAAGAATGGCAGCAATCCCAACCTAAATGAAGAATGTCAGATTGGAAGAGTTAGAGTATTTTTTTAAAAAAACAATGACTTCATAGTGATACTTGCTGAAAAGCTGCATGTCTAAATCTTGTTTTTAAGACATTACTTGGAAATTCATAAGAATCAGAACAACAAAAACTCAACTTCAGCAAGGAAACAGGGATATGAAATTGGGAAAGAAAAGTGTCACTTACTGCATTCCTCTGGAAATAGATCAGAAGGCCGGCAGCTATTTGGGCTATGAGGATCAGCAACAGGCAGGTAAAATACTGCAAAATAAATCAAGAGTGTTTCTCATATTTGTGACATTAGTACTTGCTATAAAGATAGTCCTGAACTTACAACAGTTAGTTTAGTGCCCATTCAAAGTTACCACACCACTGAAAAAAGGGACTTATGACCATTTTCCATACTTACAACCATTGTAGCATCCCTATAGTTACATGAATAAAAATCAGATATTTGGCAACCAACTCATACTTATGACACCTGCAGTGTCCTGGGCAGTGATTCGATTCAAAAAAATTTACTACCGGTTCTGTGGGTGTGGCTGGGTGGGCATGGCAGGTGAAGGATACTGTAAAATCCCCATTCCCTCCTGATCAGCTGGGACTCGGGAGGCAGACAATAGATGGGGGCGGGGTCAGTCAGAGATGGTATTTACTGGTTCTCCGAACTACTCAAAATTTCCTCTACCGGTTCTCCAGAACTGGTCAGAACCTGCTGAAGATCACCTCTGGTCCTGGGATCATATGATCACCCTTTGTGACCAAGCAAAGTCAACACAGAAGCCACATTCATTTATCAATCGTGTTACTAACATAACAACTGCAGTGATTCACCTAACAACTGTGACAAGAAAGGTCGTAAAATGGGGCAAAACTGACTTAAACAACTGTCTCCCTTAGCAACATAAATGTTGGGGTTACTTGTGGTCATAAGTCAAAGACTATCTGTACCACCCCACAGGTGAAGTTCTTCCTGGGGGAGGTTCCTATGGAAGACAGTACAACCAGATGCAATAGGAAGCTTCAGCTATAAAGCCAGAATGCTTTCTTGCCAGGAGCCTGGTGAGTATCTGCTGATGCATCAGGAGGAGATTTATTTCCATTTTCTGCCTGTCTGAGCACAATAAGCTAACAGAATTTGCTAAGCTTGCTTCCATGAGGTGTTTTAATGGAAATCTGGCACAGACAGGGTAGACAGGGTAGCTGAACAGGTCTGAAATAGTGCAAGAGTCTTTACTGATCTTTTCCATCCTCCTTGAACATCCCAGACTTTCAGTCTTTCTCTAGAGGAAGAGAAGCTTGCTGGTAGACAGCAAGAGATGGAAGACATTCCTGGGTGAGATTGCAGCCTTCTGCCTCTACTGTAAGATCCATTCCCACAATTAAAGACGGGGCAATTTTGGCAATCGGGAATGAATATGGGAGAGACACACTGTTTTGTCACCTTCTTTAAAAATAAAGATGGCAAATACAAATATGGAAAACCTAACAAGTCAACAAGAATTCATAAACAAACAGCAACATCGTAATCATCAAAGAGTTTTCAAATTGGACCTTCAAGTTTGGGGCTTAGACAACTTAGAACTACGCCGCCTTTGGTCTGACCTGAGTGTAGTACACAAAATGGTCTGCTAGAATGTGCTACCTGTCAATGACTACTTCAGCATCAACCACAACAATACATGAGCAAACTCAAGGTAAAGCACTTCAAACTCAATTGCAGAAAATATGACTTCAGCAACAGAGTGGTAAACACTTGGAATGCTCTACCTGACTCTGTGATTTCATCCCCAAATCCCCATAACTTTAACCTTAGACTGTCTACTGTTGACCTCAGTCCATTCCTAAGAAGTCTGTAAGGGAGCGTGCATAAGCGCACTAACGTGCCTATGGTCCCTGTCCTAATGTTTCTTTTTATTCATATCCATTTCATGTATCCTTATACTTATATCTGTTATCTTACACATGCTTGACAAAGTACATAAATAGATAAAATAAAAATATATGTACTGCTTACCAGTCCCAAGAGGCAGCGAATCTCATTGACCGCTCCAACACAGCCCAGGAACCCCATTAACATGGTGAGAGCTCCTACTCCAGTAAGAATGTATGCTCCAACTTTTGTAGTTGATGATGAGGTCTCTGTGGAAACCCAAGGAGGGGGGGGGGAACTACATATAACAGATGCACATTTATTATGTTCCAGCAAAGCAAGATAATTGTTCAAGAGAGATAAAGCACTCTGCTTTAAGTTCTGTAGCCAAGAAATCAAAGCACTGGACAACAAACAACTAAATCCTGTTACATTGCGCTGGGAACTGAGCACTCACTTATTGGTCATGTGATAGTGAGAAAATACACAAAGCTGTATTTTAAAAGAATGGTCGAGAGAGAGAGAGAGGAATTGACCCAGAAAGATGGGGAAAGGATGAAAAGGCATTACAGTGGGAAATATATAGGGAAGTGAAAACATAAGTCCCAATTGGTAGGTTTGCTTGTGGGAAAACCAAGATTAGCTAACTTAGTTCTTCTTAGACTTTAATAAAACAAGAAAAGATTACTAGCCATGTTAGAAGTTGGTTAGAAGTTGGCATGTCTTTTCCAGATTTTACTTGGTGATAAATTCTTATTGACTTATGTTTGGATGACCACTGTTGTATCCCCAAGCCATGCTGCCTGGGGTTGATATAATATCCAGTTCAAAATTTGATACGAGTACTACCAGTGGTAGGATTCAAATAATTTAACAACCGATTCTCTGCCCTAATGATCAGCTGGGTAGGCATGGCTCGGTGGGCATGTGACCGGGAGGACATGGCCAAGTCAATGTCACTCATGTCAATGGGTGCTTAGGCTTAGCTTTACAATATAATAAGGGTTAACCGGAGAGGCAGTTTCTGTAAGCAGGGCAATAAAGATTAGGGTAGAAACACCAGAATGTTTCCTTCTTGCCTTCCTTACAGGATTAGCCCTGTAAAGTGGAAAAAAACAAAGTAAGATTTCTTCCAACAATCGGTTCTCCAAACTGCTTAGAAAGTTAACAACCAGTTCTCCCTAATAGGTGCGAACTAGCTGAATCCCACCCCTGAGTATTACATAATCCATTTTGACTTAAAACACATGTGAAATATTCAGTAATGTTCTGTTTTTAAGATGTTCAGCTTTAGAACAGCACCCAGATGGAAATTCTACACACTTTGACAAGTTTGTCCCATCAAATGCTGCTGCCTTTTTAAGAAAGCAGGCTAAGCAGAGCCTTCAAGACCACTGCCTCAACTGGGCTCTTGATCTGTAGCAGTTCCTGGTTTTCCGAGAAACAAAATTCCCAGACTTTGCTGGCATAAGGCTACTAATTTCTATTCCCTCTTGCACAATTTTTCCTCCACTTTTTTTTCCTTGGGAAAAATTCCAGACTAGCACAAGAGGGAGGCCTTTTTGGCAACAGAATGGAATGCCCTGCTGTGTCAAGTTCCTTCCCAAACTCTCTGTTACGGTTACCAGGGAAAAAGGAGGAGGAGGAAACAAGAGAGTTAAGGAAAAAAGAGTCCATCTGGAAATCTCTGGGAAGGAAACAGGAATCTCTGCATGCACAATCTGATTACAAAATAGAAGAAAACTTTTTTTAAAAAAGAGTGCTCTTATATTAAAGACTACAAGAACACAGTAACAATAACTGCATTTCTTTGATCTGCCTAGCCTATAGAATTATAAACATTTGGTTTACAGATCACAAGAGAAAGCCAGGTCATGTTCCAATTCTTTTTTTACTGTTTAAAACTGTAGATGAGTATTAAAGGGAGGCACATCTTAATTCAACTTGCCATTTTTGTGTCTGGCTAATTCTTCTTTATACATAACATTGCAGAAGTGATCCAATTAAGAATAGTTAGATATGCAAATATAGAAAGCAGAAATAGTGCAAACTTAACAGGAAAAATATCTTCTTTTTAAATCATTATAAAAATCTGCTAACTTCTCAAAACTATCCTCACATTTCTGCTAAAAGGGATGAAAATGATGATGAAAAGAATTTTTCAAGGATAATACCCTTGGTCTGACCTGCTGTAGCCTCACACAAAAAAGCTGCTTAGCTCTAGAAAGCTTTTCTAAATCTAGCAGGAAGCCATCCCTGCTTTGGACTTATATCTAAAGATGGGCTGTTCTTCAGATGTACAGTACTTCTTTTTGTAATTTACTTTCAAAGGCAAGAAAACGATACATGAATCAATAGGAAACTTAAAAATTTTCTTACGTAGAACTGAAATGAAGCTTGTTTTGTCCACCAAAATCCATATTCCAAAACCTAGGATGACAGCACCCAGGATCTGGAAAAGAAAATTCAGTTACTTAAAAAGATCATATTAATCTTAAATTTTGTTTTCATGAATTTGTATAATGAGAAGAGTGTCCAAAGCAGCTCACAGAAACAAAACCTAAATTTGAACTATGGGAAAAAATAGAAATAGGATTACAAACTACAAAAAGTCATAGCTTTTTTTTTATTTCATGCCTTTATCAAAATTATTTCTGCAAGGGGTCGGGTCATTTCCGGCAGTAAAAGACAGATGGTGTCTATGTAAAAACATGCAGTTCTTTAAGGAGGGGAAAAAAAATCTATTTAGTCTTTCCAATACATGTGACAAATATATTGAACCCAGTCATATCTTGAGTATCAGAGAGGTGACGCAAAGACATAATTAAAAATAAGAATCAGCACTGACTTGGCACTTAATCAACCAGACAATCTCTTACAACTTTGCCAGAATCATTCCAATTTTCTTACCAGATAAAGCCAAATATTCTCTTTAACATAAAATTAAAAATTGGGGAAAGAAAGAATGGCTCCCTGCCATTTTTCTATTTTCAAAGCACAGTTCTTCTCTCTTCTCACACAGTCACATTTCTTGGCTTCTAGAATCATACAAATGTCTCTGGGCACTCAGGAAAATTCCTATTAATGATGGTGCAATTCAACAAAGGTAGAACATTTCTGTGGGTTACAGTTCCATTCGGCTTTATAGCCAGTGAAGTTCCTGTTAAGGAGTGACATAAATGCATAAACAGAAGTATACACTGATTGCTGAGATCATCATGTTTTTTTCAAATGAGATTTTTTTTAAAAAAAAACAACAACAATGCTTAAGATTTTAAATGAATAGAGAAGTGTGCTTCAGTTTTCTACATAGGTAACCAATCCACCATGCAAGCCTTCCCAAACAGCATAAAATGTAACACAGGTACCAACTTGAATGTTCAGTGAGAACAAGATTCAAGTTTCAAAGAATGCAAATGATCAGCTGTCTGCAAGGAATATAAATCCTTCCATTTCCCATCATTCAATCAGAGCTGAAGAAGCTTCTTGGATGAGAAGCGAAATGTCTTCAAAGAAAAACCAGAAAGTCTAGTTGCCTCTTGAAAAAGCACCTTTGGGACAACTATGACCTGAATGACTGAGAATCTCCATAGACGTTCAAGTTTATAATTTAGAAGACAGCTTTGCATACAGGCTTAACAACACTCCATAGGTTCTCAAACATCCCTTTTCTTTCTAGCATGTCATTAAATCTCAGACTGATTACTATGCTTATAATAAAGAACACAACGGAGCTACACCCTTTGTATGAATGATAAGAATACAAGGAAACAGCTAGAGGACTAAACAAGGCCGTCCATGTATAATTGTATAGAAACAGGAAGAGCTCTGCAGTCCCTTACAAAGGATATGTATGCTAAATACTTGCCTACCAACCAAATTCAATGAGGCTACAAATCATACAACAGTCATACCAGCAGTAAATCCAGTGGCACAGTGCCACATCTTGGCAAGCAGGTTGCAAACACACTGCAGTGCAGCAGTGTGTTGTAAATGGCTGCCAGCTGGCAATCTCCACCCATCATCAGAAGTTGCCATCAGCACCAGTTGAGAACAGGGCAGCAATTATTATGCTGCTGTAATTCATTTTTGCTCAGCTAATCGCAAAACATTCCTGGAGATGGATAAATAAATCTGGACAATTCTGTAGACTTCCATGTCAAAACAGAATTCAGCTGCAAGACAAAAAAGACATTAACAATGGAGGAGTCCCAATTCCTTCACTAGAAGATAAAACTCGGGCTTTCTTTGTATTACAACTCCTCTGTATAGGGGATGAATAATATCAAAACTGACAACTGTTAAGTTGCATTCCAGGGTTTATTTTATGATTAAATAGGAGCATCTGCATTTTGCAAATTGTTTCGTAGAAGGAACAGTAAAGGGGAAAAAAAGAGATCTTGTCTTTAATAGATTTGACAAAACTAATAGCACAAGAGTTCTGTTGCATTCCATGAAATATCAGAAAGGATCCATCTCAACAGAAACAAAACAAAAAAAGTGGACCCTGACTCTTTTTCCTCCTTCCAACCTGGATTCCCAAATTCTTGTTCTCCTTCCTTGTTCCCATAAGGAGATTCCCCCACCCCTCTGGGAACTGTAAAATTCCAAATGAGGAATTTTTCACGGTTAGAAAATTTGTCCACAAGACAGGGTGCTTCAATTATGGTCATTTGATCTAAAACCCTGGAGCAGTAACTAAATTAATTGTTTTGGACACAAGTGAGAACTCCTGCTGTATTATATTCCTAGAGGGCTGTTTGTTGCCAAGCAACAGAAAGAAAGCCAGATGCACAATGTCCTCCTATTGACCCTTATATCTGGCAGTACAGGTGGTCCTTGACTTACAACAGTTCATTTAGCGACCATTTGAAGTTACAAAATTGACTTATGACCATTCTTCACACTTATTCCCATTGCAGCATCCCCATGGTCATGTGATTTACAGTTGGATGCTTGACAACTACTGTCATATATTTATGACAGTTGTAGTGTCCCGGGGTCATGTGACCATCTTTTGTGACCTTCTGACAAACAAAGTTAATGGGGAAACCAGATTCACTTAACAACCATGTTACTAATTTAACAACTGCACTTAACCAATGATTCACTTAACAAACATGGCAAGAAAAGTTGTAAAATGGGAACAAAACTCACTTCGCAAATTTCTCACTTAACATCATAACTTCTGGGCTCAATTGTGGCCGTACGTTGAAGACTATCTGTATAAATTGGACCATCAACACAATTTTGGGCTCTGCAATCTTAAAAGCTACCAGCTTCTCTCTTTTAATCCATCCATATTTTCTATTTACCTCTCCTAGCCTTCTTACTGTCCACCCACCCCATTTCTTCCCATAAAGAATGTTAGTGCAAAGTTTGAGGTACCTCTAATCACGTCGTGCCTTGTGCCTTTATCGTACAATTTTGACCACATCATGGCAATTATTCAGGATTTGAGAAAAATACATGACTAATATATTTTACAAAAGGAAAATAGGTGACTAGTTAAATTATAGCAGAGGATTATTTTTCTAACAGATGGGTGGGAATGTTTCCTCTCTGGAAAGAATAATAAATTTCTGAGCAAAAAAATGTAGCATAAAACAAAAAGCTGTACCAGCATTTAAATATATAAACATGCTTGCAATGACACATGTAGTAGGACAAATTCATGACTTAAAAAACTTTTTAAAAAACCCTCTCACAGCTACTCATAATGAATTTGGAGAAATAGAACAGCTTTAATTTTGCAATGGGCAGAACAATTATGAGAAGTATTGTTCCTTTAATGAAACACAGTATCATGTTCAGCTTATGAACTAAAACACTAACAGCAACAGAGAAAAAAGGAGGAACGAGTGCAGAGTTGAATACACTGATTCACTGCGTGGCAAAGTAGAGCTATTATATGTGGATTGCAAAAATCTGGATGACTATTACACGACAGCAAAGAGAGTTTTTTTTTATCTTGTTTGTCGGATCAACTGACTGTAAGAATTTTTGCAGCCCAGATATAGTTATCCCAGAAACACTACATGAAATATGAACAGCAAATCATCTTTTAATATTGCAGTGTGCCAACAGCACTTTAAAATGCAGAGACTGAGATCTTTCCAGCTGTGGTTCTGAAATGACTTGGATGCTGTTATTGCTCTGGTTGCCAAGGTTGTGTTTGAACACCACTTGCAGTACTGTTAAGTGAAATGAGTTACACATTCATAAATAACGTTCTGGCAAGTCCTCCAGAGTCTGTTCCCTCTGCCCATATGCTACTCCAGATAATATAAACTGTACTTTGGGACATGTGCAGAATGCTTCATGTGTGTATACAACTGAGGCTGCTAGTCAGTCTTGCAGCCTTCATTTTAGAAGCGAAATGGTCAAGAGACTTTTTATAAATATGATTGCCCATGACTCATATCTCCAGAACTATGAATAGATAATATTCATTATACCAGATTATGTGAAACAAGTTTTTTTAATTATAACTATGTCTATGGGCTGAGTAAATGGTCATAGCTTAGCGGCAGCACAATGACCAGTAGACAAGGTGTGGTTTCCAGAAACTCAACATTGAATCTCACTAGTGATGAATCCATCTGATCTAGTAGATTTCCTGTTAGACCTTCCGCAATGGACAGTAGTTATATGTATAATTTATTAGGAGGTGCTTCTTAGAACACAAGCATTACAAATTCCAAGACAGGGCTATCATCCCAAATGGTTTCTACCCGCAGCGATAAAGAGTAGCTCACATAGATACTTCCTTGAACATCATAGGATGGAAAAATAAATCCTATGCACACTTTGCCTGTGAACTCAATAAAATTTCATCACTAAGAAAATGAAACATTGTCCTATTAAGGCAGGGGTGTCAAACTCATGGCGTCATCACATGATGTATTGGACTTTTTCCCTTTTTTTCGCTAAACCGGGCCTGGGTGTGGCCAGTGCATGATGCATCCGGACCACGGGCCAGGAGTTTGACAGCCCTGCATCAAGGTGCCACACAAATAGAAGTCTAGCTTTATTTTATCATTAACTACCCACAAGATTCTGGTTCAGATTCCCATAGGCTGTCATGCCTTAAAATGGGATGAAAGATCAGATTTCCAAATCTTGAGGCAAATTGTAGAGCCATGGTAGGAATCAAAGAGAAGAACTCGAGAAACCAGCTGCTTCCTCTAGTCTAACCAGAGGGACAGTCTTGATGGAAAGAATTCCAGTCATTTATTCTCCTTCAGCTTCTTCCTCCCTACTACTTGTTTCCCTCTTCTGCCAGTCCTCAAGGGACTTCTCGCTTCTTTCTGTGTGTGCTGTGGGAAAATACTTTGCTGCTCAGCTCTGGAGTTATTCAACCACACAGCTTTGATCCACCTCCTGTCAGCTCAGAACCATCTCAATAGATCTCTGAGAATTTACTTGGCTTCAGTAGCACAAGTCAAAAGGAAGGGAAAGCTGGGAGGGAAAGACTGAAAATATATATTTCGCTGAAGTACTGTGGCAACCCAACCACACAAACAGGGATTATCAGAAGACAATGCTCTTTTGTAGACCATTGTAGATTGGCAGCTTCTCCTCCTCAATCATTCAGTTTAAGTCCCTTGAAGTCCCTTGTTGTTTGCCATGAAAATGTTGCCACAGAGACTGGTATCATGTGCCACCTGAAGCTTCAAAATTCAAAACATTTTTAAACATCAAGTAAACCGGAATTACCTGTCCTGCTGGTTCTCAAAATAGGCTGCTGAAAATAACTTCCTGGTTTTGTCCCTCACACCCTACAAGGGAATATATGGATCGTCCCAACCTCCATGTCCCATTTTCTACAGTAGCATTTAATTTAAGGTATATATCTTAAACACAGTGCATGTCATTTTCCTGTCACTTGTCTATGGATAATGATGAATTAGGGAGAATTAAATATGTTTTCTGTGACAGGGATGACCTAACTAAACATTATTTTACTTATTTCCTTTTGAATCACATTTTTTATCCCCAGGTTATTCAAGGAGACTCCTTCTTGACCTAATATTACCCAGCTAGTCCTTGACTAATTTCCATTATATATAGAAATCATAAAATTTTTGGCTGCAGATTTGCTTTAATTCCTATATCTTCCATTGCCAGAGTTTATTAGTATAGCATTAAAGATTGCAACAACACTAGAAGACATTTAAGATATAATAGTGTTCGTATCCTGAGAAGCTCAGACTAGAGCTACAATAAAAAAGACTCAGTAATTACACACACTCTCCAAACTAAGCATTATGATCCTTTGAAAGCAAACATGAATACAATGGACACTCTGTTCAAGAACTTCTGAACACAGGATTGCTATATACAGGAATTAGCTGTGTCGTCCATTAGTCTGAGGACAAGTTCAAATGGGTATCCAATGAATTTTACATCGCCTACTGACACAAATTCAGTCCTATCCTCTTGTAACAATTTCTCTTTAAAGAGTGTCTTCCTTTGTATGTTAAAACCATGTATAAATGACCTTTGGTCCTTGGCAGCCTTAAATGGAATGCTGATTGCTCAGAAGTTAAAAACAACAAAGTATACAGCATAAGGAGGGGAGCGGGGAAATAGTGCAGAAAGCAAATTGAAAAGCCATTCCAGATGTGTGCCAGATGCACTATCTGGGCAAGTTTTATTGTACGCAAGCTCTGCACAGCCCAGAGTTAGAAAGTGGCAAAGGGAGAGGTTATCCACAACTTGAGAAAGCAAACCTCTCATTTTACCTAGTGATTTAGTAGAGTTGTGGGGCAGCACTAAGCCTATAAAAGGGATGTACAATTACATGGATGAAAAGACTCAAAACTCAAAGCAACACTGCAAGTAAAATCCCAATACCACAAACATCTCTTGCAACGAAGTTGCCCCAGCTCATAATGGTTATCTGAATCTCACTTTATTTTTCATTTTGCTATGTCCCCCTA